CGGAGAATTACCGGTATGCTCTGGAGGTGCCGACATGCGCAGAGCTAGGTCAACCAGCGAAGGCGTAACCATCTTGTTCATACTATACAGAATCTCCTGTGGTTGCAGTGCAAGTCGGTCTGCAGAGTTTCCTGGCTCTACAGGGTAGTTACAGTCTGTATACCTCAATGACATGTACTCTGCATACTGCAGCGCAGTTTAGGGGGCCCGGAGTCTACAGAGTGGAAAGGTTACACACTGCGCTCTGCATACTCGAGGTTGGTCTGCATACCGGATCGCACTGTGCTTACAGGGACACTTTGCAGAGTTTGGACGATACAGCCTCCGTGCAAGGTCTCAGTCTGTTAATTGTTTGCCCTTTTATAGCCGGACAAAAGTGCAATGTGTGCATTGTCGTATCCCAAGACTCGGGATACGAGAACGTGTGCATTCCCCTACTCGTTTCCAGGAGTATTTATTGCGGCTATTTTCCCCAGGCAAGAGCATTCTTTCTCCCACTCAAATGGATACTAGTGAGGAGCGTCGAGCCGCACATAATGCTAGCAGTCGTCGCAGCTACATGAAGTATAATGCTCTTGTGTATATTGTCACCCCGCTGACGCCCTTGTTTGTATAGACACCGCGACTGATCAACCAAAAACGACGGGACGCTTATAGACAGAAGAAGGATAAAAGAAATGGGAAGAGGTACGTCAAGTTACATCCTCTAAGGTGTCTCTTCTTACCAAATTCCTAGTCTCAAGCCGTTGGACGATCAGCAAGGAGCACACCCGGTCATTGAGACTGATTTGAATAGCGCTTACCCGCACGCCCAGTATGTTTTTTCCTTCTCAGGAGTGTCCTCTATGAACACATTGTATGTTTTACAGGCGCTGTGCACCACTGACTGAAGCGATGGACCACATTATTCGCATCTCCTCAAGCTTCACGATACTTACGCTGGGCTCGTCGGAACGCTACGCTGACACCCTCTATCAGGAGTATCAGCGAAGTATCACTTTAGATCGCCCCGAAGGCTATCTCAGTCTCCTGGTAAATGCGGTTCTGCAGGTATCTTTTTTCGAGCAGTCCCTGCTGGAGCAAGAACGCATTATTTTGAATTCCGTCGGTACCGGGAACGAGATGGGGAGGCTTCGTGTGGTATTGGATCCAGTTCGAATGTTGGCGGGCTGGTTGGAAGAAATACTTTTCACCGCGATGATCAGTCCTGCCAATTTGAGGGGGAAATATCTTCGTAGAGAGCTTGCTTTTCTGAAATATGAATGAGGAAGGGGCGTGTATTTCTTGAATCACTAACAGACACTTTCCCTTTCTCCGTTACTCTAATCTGTCCGATCTGTCGTATGCGACGCGTCCAACCGTACGGGTCAATCGATTTCAATTTGCCATATGCCTTCCGACCACGGTCCATAAGACAGGCTAGTTCGCTTTCCTGCGCATTTCCTAGGCCCGTCTGCTGCAGGTCCTTCACTAAGATAATAGTTCATATGTATGATTTGGTCCATACCTTCAAAAGATAAATTCTGCATCCGGAATCTTGCCGTCGCATAACTGGATGTGAATAGAAGGTTCTCCTTTCACATTCACAAACCGCCTCCAGTCCGGTTTGGGTCGTATGAGCACTAAATCCCTTTGCGTAATTTCACCTAAATTGGGAAGCAACATTGCAAGAGATCTGTCAAGAGAGAGAAACAACACACACATCCTAAGATATACGTCGACTTTGTTTTTGGACGAGAACATCAGATTAAAGATGGGAACGTGCGCTTTGCGGCCGACCCGCTCTTTCCCAGGTCCAGTATCGAACTCCTTGAGCATCTCACGGATATGCATCTTCGCATCGCCAGAATCTGGACCCAATCGGGATTCAAGGTCTTTCCAGACATCTTCTTGCTTGAAAACTCCGATTCTTGTGGACCTGAACTTGTCGAGCGGATTCTTTGCGGACGGGACGTGCTCGACTTCCTGATATATGATGTGTGTTCGGCCTCGTGAGGTATCGCGCACTAGTCCAAGAGCCGGCACCAAACACTCTGTCGTATCCGGCCTAGTATTCGTCTTTGTAACCTGTCCAGTCTCGGAGTAGCTGGGCGGTGGGAGCACTGATCTTCTCAAGTTCTGCCATTCTCTTGACATGTACAGCAGCATCTCTGAAATCGTCAATAACAGGATATCTAATGATCGAGCCGACATGTTCATCTGCAGTATTTCCTGTATGATTCAAAGTTTCTATGAGCACCTTCACAAAGTAAGTGCGATGGAAGATATTCTTGTGGTAGGGCCAATTCATTTTCTGGCATTCTTTGGAACTTGAATCGATTATTTCAGCATTGAGTAACCAGGAAGGGAACGAGAGCTATCACTGACCAGTAAAATGTACGCTGGCACTGCAAGCATTTCGACAATTTCACTTGGGGTTCGAGGATGAGGTCAGATGGTAGTAGAACCAGTATCCCACATCAGTCCAAAAGCCGTCCGGTCCAAATGACTGAAAGGCAATCCCTTCGGGCTGCGAAGCTGGGACTATGTTGGCATTGTACTAAGGCATAAACCCGCCGACATTTCCATCACGTTGACTCTGACGAGAATTTGATTATTAACGGTTGCCCTAAAAATAACCAAACAGGAATTCGGTGTTACTTGTAGTCCCTTTTTTTGCACTTACTTACAGTCAGAGTTTGGGCGAGAACACAATATTCGTACGCATTGCTACCGTGACGGAGAAGTTAGAGCTGAACAGGTGAAGCCCCCAAGCCTGCCCTAAATGCCACGTGGCCTCGGCATGCGGCTCTCGCTCCGACACTGTCCAACACTGTCACCTTTTCCGGAATCCCGTTCGAGGAATGTCAGTGCACACCTAAATCGAGGGTCCTCAAAGAGCAGCACTGGGCAGTCTAAATGAAGAAGCATGATCACTGTGTAGCTGCGGTACACTGAATGCTTTGACAAACATATCACTATCTTTCACTCTCTTACTTCTCGAGCCTGCTCTCCCGATACCCTCTCTTTGTGCCCTTTACTGTTTATCTGTGCGACTGTCTTTGCTTTGCTTTCTTTCCTCGTGTTTGTGACTTTCAGTGGAACACAAGGAACACATCTACATTTCGAGACTGTGAACGACGTCTCTGGCAGTAGTAATCACATACACTCGGCCCTTGGCCCTGCCAACCAGTGGCAGGCGTGCCGTGTGCTGGTGCTCAATGACCTCCTGGCTGCTGGGCACGAAAACGGTCCCTTCCAGACGTAATATGGTTTAGTATTCGCTTTAAGGTGGTTGAAGGGATTCCTATTGGTTGTTCTCTAGTAGCACTGGCGTGCGAAGAGCTAGACTATGTCAGAGCACAGCCGGAGAACTGTACGTCGTGGCTTGCATTGTGATCCGCTGTTCGGCCTTTTACATAAAAGGGCCGCACAATCAGAGATAATGGACATTGAATTGAATTCCATCGCGTCCAGTAAAATCCAATTTTTACAGTAAGTAAATATTTTGTCTGACCGTTTCATGGGTATTTATTGCGACTCTCGGTCACGCAAGACTTTACTGTCCCCCACTCAAATGGACACTGCTGAAGAACGTCGAGCCGCGCATAACGCTAGTAGTCGTCGCAGCTATGCGAAGTACAGTTGTTTTTACGTGTGTTGTCACCCCACTGATGCTTTTGTGTGTAGGCACCGCGACTCGATCAACCAAAGACGACGAGACATCTATAAACAGAAGAAGGGCCAAAGAAACGGAAGCAGGCACGTCAATTCTTTCAATTCTTTCTCTATGATGTCACGCTCTTACCAAATCCCCTAGTCTCGAACCGCTGGACGGTCGACAAGGGGCACGCCCCATTGAAATTGAAGTCAACAGCGGTCAGCCACACACCCAGTACGTCCTTCCCTCTCAAAAAGTGACATCTATAAACGCGTTCTATGCTTTACAGGCGCTCTGCAACGCTGACTGAAGCAATGGACCAGATTATTCGCCTCTCCGCAAGATTCGGGATACTTACACTGGGTTCACCGCGACGCCACGCCGACATCATCTATCGGGAGTATCAACGAAGTGTCACTGTTCATCGCCCCCAAGGCTTCCGCAGTCTCCTGGACGAAGCAGTTCTTGAAATGTCTTCCCTCGAGCAGTCTCTGCTGGAGCAGAATCGCGTTATTTTGAATTCCGCCAGTAGTGGGAATGAGATGGAGAAGCTTCACGCGGTACTGGATCCAGTCCGAATGTTGGTGGGCTGGTTGGAAGAAATACATTTCGAGGCTATGATCAGTCCTGTCAATCTGAGGGCAAAGTATCTTCGTAGAGAGCTCGCTTTTCTGAAATATGATTGAGGAAGCGGCATGGATTTCTTGAATTACTAATAGGCACCTCTCCCTCTCTTCGTTATTCTAGTCTGTGTCTGTTGTATGCGACGAGTCCAGCCATACAAGCCAATCAATTCAAGTTTGGCATACGTCTTCCATGGCCCCTCAGACTGTAGTTCGCTCTCCTGCTTATTTCGTAGACCTGTCTGCTTGCAAGTCCTTCACTAAGATGACGTTCTAGCCATCCAACGATCCTATGATTACGCCTCTTCTACATTGTCTTCGGAATCTGTCATTAAATAGCAACAGAGTACAGGATGTGGTACTATTACATTTTTTTTGAAACTTTCCTCCGACTTCCACAATGACTACCATTTACTAGTACTCATCGGCACCTGGGAGCATACACATACTCATCAGTGTCATAGTCGAGTCGCCAACAGTATTATTACCTCTTCCTTGGCTTCATGTTGTACACTTTGCGTATCAACGTTAACCACTTGTGTATAGCCGACAATTAGAATTTGACTCACACCTTCAAAAGATGAATTCTGCATCCGGATTCTTGCCGCCACGTAACTTGAACTGAGTGGGAGGTTCCCCTTCTACGTTGATATCCCGTCTCCAGTCCGTTCTGCGTTGCATCAATACTAGCTCCTTTCGCGAAATCATACCTAAAATTGGAAAGCAACATTGCAAAGAGATCCTTTAAGAGAGAGAGAGAAAACGCACCCATTCTGAGATATGCCTGGCCATCGCTGCGCTTGGCCGAGAACACTAAATTAAATATAGGAATAAGCGTTTGGCTGCCGATCTGCTCTTGCATAGGTCTCTGATCAAACGCCTCGAGCATATCGCGGATGTGCATCTTTGCCTCGCCTGGATCTAGGCGTAATATGGACCCAACGTCTTTCCAAGCATCTTCTTGTTTGAAAACTCCGACTCTGGTGGTTCTGAACCTGTCGAGACGACTTTTCATGGACGGGACATATTCGACTTCCTGAAGTACGATATGTGTCCGGCCTCGTGATTCATCGCGTGCCAGTCCTAGAGCGTGTGCGAAGCACTCTATCATCCCAGGCATAATATTATCTCGGATATCCATCCAGTCTCGGTATTGTTGTGCCGCAGAAGCACTAATTTTCTCGAATTCTGCTATTTTCTTCGTCTGCTCAGCAGCATCTCTGAAAGCGTCATTAACATCATATCTAGGGATCAAGCTGATGCATTCACTTGCAGTATTTCCTGTATCATTCAAGGACGGCGTGAGAACCTTTATAAAACAAGTATCATAAAAGATATACTTGTGGTAGCGCCAGTTCATTTTCTGGCATTCTTTGGAACTGAATCCATGGTTCAGAATTACGTGTTCTGGAAGAAACGACTATCACCTACCAGTACAGCGTATGGTGGCATTGCAGGCATTTCAACAATTTCACTTGCGGTTCACGAGCACCGCAGTTTTGGCAGTACCTCGCGTGACGCATTACCGTTTTCAAAGTTGCCTTCCTATGATCCAGCCACTTAAATCCGCCAAGGCCCGTGAAAACCGGATCCACAGTTGGACCAATGTCGGTAGTGAACATTCCTACCAGAATGTCGTTTTTAAATTTATGTGGATACTTCTTGAACCATCTGACTAGCCATGCTTCCCTAAAAGACTTATTAGATGACATCACCGAGAGACACAAGCGCTCAACATACAGTTTCTGTGCTTCGTCGTCTTCCCCAAGTCTCCGAAGTACACGGGCAAGATACACCTTTGCATGGACGTGATGCGCAATAGTTCCAGAGCCGGCGTCGAATGTTATATCCTGGATAATACGTGATAAAGCTGTCTTTGCTTCAACGTCGTCTATCCTGGCGCGCGCGAGGCATATAGCATGCGAAATGTATAGCCCTCTTTCACAAAACAGTCAATATGGAGGCGATGCAGCTATGTTTCCGGTTACGCACGGGCTTGTATGGAAGATATCGGACTCTCCGCCGTGCTCCTTGACTGTCTCCATAGAACATCGAACATGGTACAGAGCTTCCAGTGGTAGGTTAATTTGCGGGTGGCTAGAATTTCATTGCCAAGTAATCAGAGCTTGATTCAGAGATGAAGTGCTATGCTAAATAAACACTCACAGAAGGTATTCGGCAATCTTGGATCGACAAATTTTAAGCTACATAATCCACAATCAGACTCGGAGAAATTTGCATTCTGTAGTGGAACTATTCACCATATAGTACCGTCCTTTCTTTGCTGGTATAGGAGTATCTTTTCCGCACCTACGCTCCACGCATTTGGTGAATGGCTTCAGTTGCTCATCTGACCCTTCTAGAAGGCCACGAATCCACCATTCGAGAGACCAGATACACTGCGGTAAAATGTCTTCTGGGACTGTACAAATAAGATGCATATATATATGGAAGTGCAGCGAAACTTACTATCATCGACAGAGCAGAAATAGCTGAACTCAAAAAGCCGAGGAAGCTTGTATCTGTACCACAATCCCGGTGGGAGAGAGTCTATAGTCTCGCCTCGCTGCGGTATCGGAGCCCGTGCGAGTTGGATAACTGTTCATTGTCACAGGTCAGAACAAGATGCACAGCTATCAGATAACGCAATCCACCTTCAGCAGCTTGGCTCCGAACCAAAGATAGATCAGGCATCCTGTAATCCCTCGGAAGTGTGATCATGTCTCCTAAATACGCTCGTGGGGCGCTTTGAAAGGCAGAGACTATCGCTGGGTCCATCGCGTGAGCAATCAAGATGATTGTTTGCGATTCGGATGGGAAACAGGGTAGGCTGGTGGATCAATCGGTCCGGGAGTCGCCATATGGTCAGATGCGGAATCAGTATTCCACGATCCAAAAGTCATCTGCTCCAAACATCTGGAAGGCAATCAGAAATGGTGCGAAGCTGGGATCGTGTTAACATTGCGACAACTCGCAAATTCCCTGACATTTCTTTCGCGTCGATTTCGTGGGTACCGATGGCGGTGCATTTTTGAACGTATGATCGGCCCGATTTTTCCGCGGCCACGTGCATGGCATGTGACCGCAGTCTTCTACTCCGGTAGCTTCCGGCGGTGCTTAGCAGTACCTTTCTTCTCGATGATACGTTCATTCGATGCCATAATTACGATTCGAACTAACTATGAAACGGAATTCACAGCGGCTCCCAGCACTACATGGTGGGTTCAATTCCCTACCTTTTTCTTGGTTTCTTAGCATCGCCATAGCAGAGGACGACTGCTATATGCTTGGCTGTGAAGATTACGATGTTTGAGCTGACGCTGTTCAATGGTGACAGCAAACGGAATTCGTGAAGGCAACCAGTTTGATAGATACAGACATAGACTGCCCCAGTGCATTCAAGAGTACGAACGGCAGGGGATAGACGAGTTGCCGGATGGTTCGTGCTAAGCTTTTCTAAGATATGAGTGAAAAAGGGACGTTTATTCCTTGAATTAATAACAGACACCTTTACTTCTGTTACGCCAGCTTGTTCTTGTCGTGTGTGACGCGCCAACTGTGCGGGTCTATCGGTTTCCGTCTGCCATACGCCCTCCAATGAGTCGATGATCTGCGAGACAAAATGTCCGGATTGCTTTCTTGCGCGTCTCATGGACGTGTCTGTCTGCAGCGTTAGCTGTAGTCTGTAATCATGACCTTTAACTCACCTTTTCAGAAGATAAATTCTGCATTCTAAATCTTATCATCACCTTTGACCTGAACAGATCCCTTCTCCAGATCCACAGGGATATCGAGACTCTTTACATGCGATCGTAAAGCATTTTTTGCAGACAGGGCCTGCTGCTAGGTCTATCGCGTGAGTAAACAAGATGCGCTGCGATGTTTGTTGACGGATCGGTCGGTCCGAGTCGTCTGACAGTCTACCACGCCACATCGCCCCCCAAAGCCATGCACGTAGCGATTGTACAGGGCCGGCTTGGCCTGGCTTTGAGGGCTTGGGCTTGGTTTAATACGGGCTTGGCGTTCGAAATCGCAAGCCTAAGCCCTGAGCCCGAGCCCTACCGTGCTCAGGCTTGGCCATGATGCACGTCAGACCATCGACTCATTTTTGTACGAAACAAAAAGCTTTGCGGTTCAAGTTTTTCGAACTCTCGGAGTGGTAGACCACCAATTTAATTCACCTAGAAGTGGATGAGGCCCTGAACAAAGCTTTACTCGCGAAATACTGTCCCCCCTCGGTTCTTACTATATGTTTCGTTGGTTTCCGCCTGGTATATAACCATCTCTTGTTTGCAGAACTTTCCGGTAACTATGGTTATTTTCAGCGTATAGATTGAACCTGTCTGTGGGCAGTAACCGGAGTTCGGTATTGTTTGAAGCCGGAAACGACTCCGCTCAACTACCGTTCAAACATAGTAATTATGCTTTGACGCGTTCCCGTGGTCCGGCAACAATCGTACCATTCGCCACCGTATAAACAAGAGGGTTGCTAGTCTCGTCTCGTCGTTTCTCATCATGGCTATCATCTACTTACCGCCTGGCTTTGCCTTCCTGTCTAGAATGATTTTCTTCACCGTAATATTCCCCTGTTCAACTTTGTGGGCTCTCCAAAACATATTGCGAGCATCTGGTCTCATTCTTCCGTCATGGATTTGCTTTATCGTCCCTTTAGCCGTGCAACTTGTGTCTGCCATAGTCCGCAACTACCTCACGAGCTTTACAGTCGAAAGGAAGGCTGCTGCGCAGGGCGCTATTGTTATGGATCTCGTGTCTTTTCCGGTCTGCACATGAGTCAACACATGCTTACTCTCGGCCTTCTCGGCCTTGACCTCGGCTTACTGGTATTTTCTATCATTTTCTCTTACTTTCTCCTTCCTTCTTACGAATACTAGAATAATAATGACTCGATTCCTTACTAGTGGTATATAAGTATTGTACTTGCCATTGTATTGGAATCTTAAGCTAATTTTACTCATCTTCGAAGTCCACTTAATTGTGTGAACTAAGCATCTCTGATCGGTTACACCAAGCGCTTGCCAATCAATTGCTTTCCGACTACGCCTAGCGCTTTTCGGAGACCCAGTCAGTTACGCCTAGCACTTGCTGACGCCCTCGTTAACTACGCCTAGCGCTTGTTAGCACCCTTACGGATCCCTCTTGGTGGTTGGAACTTGGCTTACGGACATCCTCGCTCACGACTTGGGTTTTACTCGAGTACTCATTAACTCGTGTATTAGCTCAAATACCCTGATTCTTAACAGCTATCATGGCACCCAGTGTTCGAGGAACTAGTCTCTCTATCTTACGGGAAATGTCTCACAGCTTCAGGGATGGATATCCAGGTCTGTTTTCGTTTAGATTCTGAGGGCTTCGAACTAACAGTCGGCTGCTATTACATTAGATGAAATATTCCAAAAGTGGAGCGAATAGTATGGAAACACCTATTCGTTCAACTTTTTTTCAGACAAACAGGTAAATGGCCATCGTGTGCTGTATATGTTTCTCGCTCTAACGGCAACCCGAGATGTTCACAACTGAGCCAGAACACATCAAAGTACGTGACGACTAATACACACCTCATGTTACGTTTTGTCTAATTGGCACTACATCCAGGCCATCCTCGCGACCCAGTTCCAAGACTTTGAAAAGGGTTTGTGGCTACTCATGAAGTCGCCGTTTCGTTATTGATGTTCAACTCTAGGCCGTATCTTCTATGTCGCTGAGTCTCTTCTGGGGGCGGGGATTTTTAACTCCGATGGTGAGAGCCTTCGCATGTTGACATCACGTACGCGAATACTCAAAGATGATGTGCAACAGGTGATATTTAGAAGTGGGTTTACCCCGAGCTCTCCTTCTGCTTATGCTAACTACTCTTCTAGATTTCATCAAACGATGACGAGACCTCTCTTCAATAAGGACAGAATATCTGACTTTTATAACTTAGATTGACCAGCGTTTGCATAAGTATTTCAATGCGGGTCCAAGAATTTGCTTAGGCCAACAGGTGAGTACACTGATGCCATCTCCAATTTCCTTAAATCTTCCCGCTAGTTTGCTTATAAAGAGGCTTCGTACTATCTTATTCGACTCCAAACGTCAGTCTTGCTATGGACGCACAACGTTCAACCCGCCGAAGGAATTCCTCCGAAGAGTTGGACAATGACTCCCGGCACGACTAAAGGGAGAGATAAGATCATGTTCGGGTTACACTTGACTATGTATGCTAAGGTTGGTCGCATGCAGTATCTGGTGCTTGGTCTTGAAATGAACTTTGATTTGATAGGCTGGTATGTGGGTCAGAATGGAAGAAGCGAAAGATGACGTGTAAAAGGACTTAAAATGTTCGAGAAGCTACACTAACTTGATGATGATTCTTACTCCGTTCATACATGTCCTCATATAAGAGGCAAATGCAACAACTTTTCACCGCCATTAACTTTCCAAGTCAATGAATTCGTGGAAAAATCTGGACGTATCATCTTCTCGCTGATCGCCGAATTACTACTCGATCCGGTATTTTCCGGTTAATACCTTGACTTCTTTCTTTCGAATCCGGCAAGCTTTAGATTATTATTTTCTCTTTCAATGTATTCACGTCGTTCACTTTCTAGTACATTTTCCTCCCACTTGTTATTTTCGTGGAGGAGTTTGTGTTATGGGTTCTCTCTTTACGTTGAAGTGCTTACGTTTTGCTTACGTTGTTTCCTACTTCAGAAACCAGAAGTAGGTTTATGTGCGTCAACAGCGTTTGCCGTGAATATAACCTCGTCGATGCGTTTGGCTTCTGCCATGGAAATTTATAGGTGAAAAGAAAAGTACGGTAAGTGTACGATAACCCGAGTCCGATAGGAACGGTCTCTGTGACCTTAAGTAAGGCGTTCGAGAAATCCTTGGCGTCTTGATTTCAGTCTTCTGCTGCGAAAACTGCATCGATGGCCACTGGCAATGCGATCGTCAGCAGCTAACGTAACGTGAGTACAGACTTTATATGCTATCCAACTAATCTTTTCTTAGGCTCCGAGGCTCACGCGTCGCTTTTGCCAAGGTTGCATCCCGAGTTTGCAGTGTCCCACCTGACGCGTATGACATGTCCAAGTTCATGGCTGGTCTAGAGTATATGCAGATTCAGACAGTCCGATAGATGAACGGCCATGATAGTTAACCGGTAAACTTGGAAACAATACTTCGATGTATGGATTTTGGACCAATCGCCTGTGACCAGTAACCGGAATCCGGTATTGCTTGAAGCCGGAAGTCGGCCTTCTCCACCCAACCACCACTCATGACGAGATTTCAGAATGCAGATAGCAACAAGAAAAGGACGGATGCACGGATCCGGCAAGAGGTTATCCGTATTTTGATGCATTCAGTCACTTCGGATTACTCTCAGTATTGCCGTGAGCGACTGTAGTCCGTATGTAATACTTAATACTATTCGCCATTATATCTAAAGGGGGTGGTCGATGATCTGTTCTCGTTCTTGCCCATCATGACTGCCAGATATCTGCCACCTGGTTTTGTTTTTCTGTCCCGAGCTCTGTTCTTCGTTGTCATCGTCCCATCCTCCACTTTCTGGGCTCTCCAGACCTTAGCCGGTTTCAGTCTTCCTGTTTGGCATTCCCTTGCCGTCCCTTTGGTATTACAGCTCGTCTTTGTGGTGGCTCGAAACTCCTTCACCAGCTTTACAATCAAAAGGCATGCCGCTGCGCAAGGTGCTATTATGATACCCAGCGTCCAGGAAAGCAGTTTCTCCATCCTACGACAATTGGTATCCGGCTTCACGAATGGATACCCAAGTGCGTTTGCGTTTGAACTCTGGGAAGCGCTTCAAGCCAATGATCGAGCTACAATTAGGTGAAGCATTCCAGAAGTGGAGTGAACAATACGGAAACACCTTTGCATTCCACTCCTTTTCGGACAAGCGGGTGAGTTCACATCGGAGCCTATTTGCGCTTCTCAAACTGACAGCTACCCCAGATATTTACAACTGAACCGGAGCACATAAAAGTAAGTTACGACCACGATTCAGTTCATATTGTATC